TCCAGGACCGGGAAAAAGCGAAAGTCGCACGTCACCGTACCATGAGGCTTGCCACTGTGGATGACTTCCAGGCGCTCATTCTCATGCTCGTACAACTCCTCGAGGTTCTCAAGAGGAAATGATGCCACACCCAGTTGTTTATGCTTGCGGAAATCGTTGTGGTCAAAGATCTGGATATCCAGGGACTCGGAAAATGATGAAACAATGATGTAGTGTGTCTCATTCCACCGCGGGTTGGGATTGTCGTCAACAACCTTGGTTCTGGCTAGCTCCTTGCGTTGGCTCAGTGAGATGGATGCGTAAGGGTCAATGGTGCCGCCGAAATTGTCGCTGTTCTTCAGGCCGTGGGCACTATAGATAGTAATGGCGACAACACCAACAGCTTGATCCAGTTGTGTGCCAGCAAGCATCTTGGCAACTTCGATGGGGAAGACCTTGGGACTATACATCATGGGGGCAAGATTTCCGTGGATCTGTTCCAGGATGAAACTCTCCAGTCCGGGGATGAAATTGATATCAAAACCCAGAGTCTCTCCACCCAAAGGCTTGCAGACATAATCAATAGTTGGACGCTCCAGGAAACACATCTCAACTCGGTCAACATGAGGGAAGGGAATCTGAAGTTTGATTTTGAGGCGCATGAGACCGGAGAATGCCATATCCTCGACAATGACATCAAGACCCTTACTGATCATGGCTTTTCCAACACGAATCTCCAGAACGATTTTGGGGTTGACTTTATTGCTAAGCTGCCGGTAAGTCATGTCCGTTTTGTCGTTAGGTGTGAAGCTAAATTTCCAGTCCATAAGAACGATATCATCTTCTGTCTTGGGATAAGTTTTGACATGCTCCATTCGAGGAGGCTTGCTGCCCAGAGTGAATTTCTTCAATCTTAGACTATCGAGAAACGAGGGGGTCGCGGAGCTCAGCACCTGATCAACAGACTTGACGACAGTGTCGGCGAGCACGGGCTGATAGATGGGCCAAAACTTGACAAGAAATGAGTTGATCCATTCCACAGACTCATTGTCGTCTTCCAGCTTCTTGAGTGCCATTTCACGTCGAATGTCGTCGCGAAAGTTGCGCCGAACTCGTCGAAGCGAAGTTCGATAATACGTGGAGCAGATGGCCATGACGATCATTACCCATGCCAGACCACCGCCAAGCACGGCAATAAGCCAGGACGTCAGACAAGCAAAGACAATGATAGCTGCGTTATGGTACCAGTCTGCGTCGCATTAGCTTAAACTTGTTCGCAAAGGGGAATGGTGCTCCCAATTGGGTGAGAATTTGAGCCCTCAAAACATACCGCCGTACAAGATATCTGGGATCTTCTCCTCGAGCCACGTCTGGTGATCAAGCAAGCTTTCCTGCTCTTCGTCCTTGCCGCCAAGTGGCCCAAACATTGGCGCCCATCCAGTTCGCGAAAACGGCACCTCTCCAGCTTCCGGGTCGGCATTAACGACGGGCCTTCCATTTGCATCCTTCGCGACATCGATAGCGCCGGCCTTGCTTGCCTCCGGGAGGTCCTCGTCTGGGCCGGTACCATCGTCAACGTCGGTGACAATGGCGGCGCCCTTGGGCCTCTTCTTTAATTCGGCCGGGATCGCCTATGAGACAGAAGAGCAATTGTTAGCCATGATGACCTGGAAACCGACCCATTGGAGGGTGCGCCCGCTCCGCCAAGATACATAGGTGGCTACTCACAGCTCTGGTGGCCGCTCGCTTCTCCTCCACGCTGGCGTCAGCATCGAAACTGAAGGCTGCGATGCCCGCATTCTTGGAGGCCTCAACAATCTGCTGCTCGGCTGCCTCTGCGGCGGCTCTGGTCTGTGTATTGACGGCGGCCTCGATCGCCGCCTCCTGCTTAACCTCAGGAGCCTCGCTCATCTCGCCGGGGTTGGCGCTCCGCACCGAGCTAATGTCGCCAATCACCGGGGTTCAATTGAGTCGTTTGGGCGGGTTAGGAATGCTGCTCCAGACTCGAGCACCGTTGGCGCATAAAAATTGGCGGCTCGAGGGAATTCCAAGACGAGCGACAAGAAAACTATCTGCCGTCTACCTGCTCAGGGAAAAAACTCAAAGGAGTGAGAGTGCGAGACCTGAGCTGAGAGGGGTGGACAGCGTGGGGATGATAGTTGTAGACGAGCTAGCTCAAGCTGGGGAATGGGCCCAATCCCGTCGGAAGGTAGCTGGGAATAGTAGAAGACTAGCTGGATGGGAAGGAAACATGGGAAATAGAAACGAGAGAATGCAGCTGACGACCACGCTCAGCAAGATGGGTCTGCGGCTGGGAGGCACAGGTGAGCAATGCAGCTCTATGCAGGTCGACGGTGGAGGAAATCTGTCTGTGTCCGAGGTGGTGATGAAATGGCAGCAGGAGGCAACCTGATCTGATGCTCAAGCCAAGCTGCGCAACGCTGCAGGGTCGACGTAATTAATGTCGGGTAGGTCAGGTAGGTAGGGTACTTGGGCACACCAGTGGAGGCACGTAATAGTGGCCACAGGTGGCTGGGATTGCGCTGCTAATGGGTGGTATCTCGCCCGCTGCTGGAACATTGGGGGTTCCCTGGACCTGTATCTTGGCGGCGGCGCTGGTCGCGATGTGAGGTACCAGCTACTGTTTGCGTGGAGGCTGCCCTTCTAGACCTCCGGCAACCCTGTCGGGCTGGGCTGGCAAGATTAGTGCGAAAAGCGGGCAGGCCCACAGAGGCAGCTCGTGGCGCTAAGAATATGTAGGAGGAGCACTAAGGTGCTCCCTCGTCGATGAGGTCAAGCCCGTCACGCCAATCTGGTTTTGGAGATGGAGCTTTCGCGTTGGTGGTCAACAGAGCTGAATATCCTGCTGTTCGCGGTTTGGCTCGTGCAAGCGGCACAGGAACGCAGGTGGGACTTGGGAGCAGATCTGCCTACCATATTTTATTACAGCGCAGTCATGCTGCACAAGCCTGGCCCTCACTTATTAATAGACACTCAAATCTTCATGGCTTACATCACTCATTTCTGTTGTACCTGTCCATTGGGAACCAGGTACATCAGAGGGGGGTAATTACCAGGTGGTTAATTGCATCCCCCATATCGCTCAACCGGGAGCAGTGACGTGTGAACAACCACCATATCAGCTGTAGAAAATTGGGGCCGTGGTCGCTCGTGCCGGCGCTACTTCAAGACATGCATCGAAACCAGTAAAACCTCCATGCATGCATCAGCTATTGCAGATAGTAGCTCTTGTGCTCTCCCTCACCGACCGGCCAGCCACCCCGTTGGGCGTCTGACTATGCGCTAGGCTCGAGTGCATCAGCTGCGGTGACTCCTTTCTTGTTATTAGGATCAATCCAAGATTGAAAATCCAAATTAGCCAGAGGCCGTCAAGCAGGCGATGGGTATATGACCCCCGGGCCTACGCGGCCGGGGTGGATTCCCCAAATGCCAATACAGGACGGTGGCCTCCCACCAAAAAAGAAAAGGATCTCCACCACCGCCAACGCCGAGCCCAACCCACCGGGACAGGTGCTTTCTGGAAGTTGGACCTGGGTCAATCACAGGTGTCTGTGGTTTGTCTTGCGACGTCCCACCCCATCCTTGGCTCCCTCCCCATCCGCAAGATATTATAGCAGTTTAACCGGAGGGTAAGGTGTTTCCAAGCTCCAACCCGCAATTGGCTGGAGCCCTGGGGTGTGACGTGCGTTTGTTCGTAAATCAGGTTCACTTGCTGGGACCCAGCGCAAGGAGGATTAAGGTATGCTACTCTGCAGGTAGAATCCAGGGTACGCTGCGGGCATTTTCCTTGATTTTCATTCTTTCTTTTTTTTCACGAGCTCCAACCTCACGAATCCAAGTTTGTGGAGCTTGTGTGGAAGACATGTATCACATCAGGCCCTCTTTTTCTTTAATTTTCCCCTGACACCATCTCTGACAATGCCGGATTTATGCCATAGTACATGATTTGAAACATCGCTCACGAATCATTCAGATCCAAGTATCACAGATCATCGCCTCAGGGCTATAGCCACGTCCCAGCTTCCTTTTCACAAATTTATACAAGAAAACGGCTTTCACTCAGGCTCCAGATTAGAAGAATCTCGATGAATGACGAAGTATTGGAACCCAATGAACAGACAGAGACGTATCAATGGTCTCGAGCTTGTTCTCTTTTCATCATTCCTACGACATCCATCCACTACATTGTGTACTTCGTTCTGCGTGTCCCAGGAGGGACAACCTTCGTTTCCCTGTCCAATTGTGTGCCAACAACGTAGAAATAACCCTAGAACAAGCCAAGAAATCAAGGTCTTTACACCACAAAGGATTGTGTCATATGCACGCAGAGGGGAAATAGTGAGATTATGCGCCTCGCGCATATCCTAGATCTTCTATTGACCAAATATAGGAGAGCATAGAGAAGAGAGCAAATAAGAAGATTGAGCAAGCAAAGCCAAACTCCCTGACACCGATGAGGCGCTATTCAAGACAAACCTCGTAGTTTCGCCTGCAGACGCCATATTGTATGTGCAGCCGTTTATCATCAAGCCAGTAACTAGTGGGATTAAGCCACCCAAAGAGCAAAAACAGAAGAGGGCTACCAGATATGTAGTACATCATCGTATCGTAGGAGAAAGATCCATGTGCAAATCAGAAAACCAATATCGCTGAGAAGAAGAAGAAATATATGGGGCGGCGTTCTCAATACCCAAAACCATCGTGTTGATGAACCGGGCAGCGTCCAGGGTGGTTGACAAACCAGGCAACAATGCAAGATCGGTGGAATCGGCAAAGGCACTCCAGGCGCGCCATGGGAACTGCCACAACGAACTCCTCTAAGCAAATCGTGCACTCAGCATCATCCACACAATCCTTCTCTGTTGCTGGGTATGTGTACATTCCGGTTAAGCGAGGAGCTGCTTGTGGTTCACCACCTTCCCCTGTCCGGGGGCTCCCGAAAGTACTGTGCGATTGAATGCATGATGTGATGTGAGACTCGCGGAGAGACTCAAAGTTTTCTAGGCTTCGAGATGGGAGTTCAAGATGGCAGATCGGACATTCATCTTCTTCTGCAATTTGAGGGGGTGGGGGCAGCTGTCGATGGTGCCGAGATGATGCTCGAGCTTCTCCAAATGAACTGTACCGATGTGGCAAATTGGATGATGTGGCTCCTGATAGATTGCTTTCTGGGAACCGAATAGAAGACGAATGCGAGATCCTGCGGCTGGAGTTGCTAGCTCTTGAGTGCGCTCCAGGACTCTAGATAGAGGCGGCCGTTGGTCAATAATCTGATTCAATGTCACGTAACTGAAGGGGCACTTACCAATGTCACACTTCTCGCACGGTAGGCACGGCTGGATAAAGATGAGAAAGGATCTTGGAGTTGGCCAGCATTAAATGCCATTCCATGACGACTGTTTGAGGACATGGCGGCATCGTAAGCATTTCCTATGCTGCTTCTTGATCTTGAATGAGAACTGCGAAAGTTCGCTACAGGGGGCGTTGAAGAAGAGGAGGACAAGCCTTGCGGGGGGGCTATATTTGGGTCAGGGACGCAAGGGTTGCATAACCGGACTCTTTCCCCTCCAGGTATCCCGTTGACATCAAAGTACCCAAGCCCAAGCTGATCTGTGAGCAACGTCTGAGGTGGTATAGGTATCTCTGATCCCGGAGGCCTAACTATGTATTGGTGTGGTATGATAATCCTGTGTGGGGAGCAAGAGTTGCAAACGACCCGGCCACACTTTCTAATCTGGTGTGAGTACTCTCATACAGCTCGATTTGAGTTGGGATATAACCTACCTGCAATGGTGCTTGCGAACAAAGATGCTGAACTGCGTTTGGCAGATAGGGCAGTATGTTACTTCTGCATCTGGCTGCCACCTAGGCAAAGCAAAATCCGATGAGACGCTCTCACTCCCGCCGTGTTGTGTATCGAGCTCCCCATCTTGACTGGGTAGGAGAAAAGATGACTCGCCCCGCTGGGTTTCCGGCAATGGCATATTAAGGACTGCATTTATATCGAGCGCTCGAAATCTGTCAAGATCTGAATGGCCCTGACCATGTTCTCCGCTGTGATCCCTGGGTATGTGTTGTGAGGCTAATGATGCGTTCGCATCATGAGCCACCCCAGTTTGACTTCCACTGGGCTCCCCGAATTCTGCACCAACGTGGAGAAGACTCGCCGTCGGCGCTGAGCTGCTGAGTCCACTAAGTTCCATGTTCAATCGAGAAGGGGCGGCACTGGTGCTGTCTTGGTGCTGATGACTTCCGGAACCCAGAGCAGACCGTTCACGCGGCGGCCTTTCGCTGCTCGCTAACCTGGCACCTCCAGTTTCGGTAGATCCAGCATGAACGCCGCTGTGATTTCTAGGTTCGATATCCGCGCTGGCGGGCTGTTCGTCCACTGAAAGTCGTCGCTCGATGCCATGCGAAGGGCAGTCGAAGTATCTGGAACATTCCTCGTCGTAGTAAAGCGATGTTCTCCAGGGGCAAGGATATTCATCATTATGTTCCTCAGCTGAGCGATGGCTAGTAAAGGCACGGTTACTAGCCTCGTCTACTAAGCTCTCGTGGGCGGGGCTGGAGGTCGATGGAACTGCAGGACTGGCCATAGTGATACATCAGAGATATTACCAATTCGAAGCGCCTCGAAAGCCGTGTTGTTGCTGTTCCACCTCGCTTTGCCTCGCCTTTTGGAAGTAAAATTAAGTCGAGGTGGCGGTCGGCTTAGATATTTAAGTTCGATATGTGGCGATGTGTGGCGATGGGCGGAATCAAGCCTCGTCGAGTCGGTCGGTCGGTCGGCAAGGGAGCCTCGTCGTCAAGCAAGTCGGGTCAAGCCCTGAATGCCGTTTGCTATCAGAGAAGACGGGTAGGCTCACTGGGGAAAAGCATTCTATGCCATGACGAAAAGACGCATAGAGGAAGAAACCAAGTCTCGATAACTGATACAATTCTAAAGTATTTGGATGAGATGGGGCAATATGATATCAACACCTGTTGGCTGAGGGGAAGATATAATGTAGGCAGGAGCCCCCCTGTGGGTTTGCCTGAGCATGCGACACCACGATGGCAGGGTTGTCGATAAGGCCGCTTTTAGGGTGAGGCTCACGGTGAGCAGACGTTGATCGCTTTTTGAGTGGTGATAACAATGATGCAGAGATAAGACTAGAAGCTATTGCTAAAGCGGCAAGACACTATGCCTAAAGAACACAGACCAGGTAGCAGTGGAGACGAACCCTTGATGAGGCCCTTGCGTCAGATATGGCTAATCGATGAATTAATGGGGGCCGTTGCTTGTCTGAGCAGCTGGTCTATTGTATTCGGCTGCAGCGATCACTGCATGGAGAGAAACACCTCGCTAGTAGCCTGTCCAGTGGGATGAAATTTTCAAGAGAACGTAGCATTGCCGGTAGATTATTGAGCGCTGCCAGTTGTTCTTCCTAGGCGCATTTTCAAGACTGTCACGCGAATGTAAGGGAGCATGCTTACAGGATCAAATTAGGAAGAGGCGAACACTGATCTCTGTCGACATTACCCTGGACGAATCATACAATTATACAGGTATTGGAGAGAAGCATCCAGAACTGGCCGTTATTACATGAAATAATCGTATTGGACCGGAATAGCACCTACAATCAATTTTGACTCATAAGTCTCTAGGGTAATCATCTCTCGTCACCACAAAGTTGCGCGGGTTACCACCGGTAGGTAGGTACCTGCAATATGCTGACTGTGCGGCTGATAGGCTCAGATACCCTTACTTAAAGTCTTCTTGCCACTCTTAGTTACTCTCCAGAGAGAAATTAACTGTATGTCTAGGTCGGGTAGCATGTCACCGTGGACCAGTACACTGGACTCAAGTAATATCGCCAATATAATTACAGTCTTTCCCGAGGAAAGACGAGCAAGCTAAACTGTGAATACATGGCATGCAATCTGACGACCGCAGCAAAAACCCCAAGCACCTAATTGGCACTGCAAGAAGTCTTTCCTTTACTCACGTGATTCATAGGCATTGATGTTGAATGAAGCCCCGCCATATTCGCAATGGTTCTAGTACCTTGCGTGACTTTATTCTAGAACAACATGAGAAAGAGTTGCAAATATACTGGTTGGCATGATCACGGGCTTGAATATTAGAATAAAAATAGAAGCAGTGTTATGCCCAATACGAAAATTCTGCAACAAGTGTCGTGCTGCATGTGAGGCAGAGTCGCATAAGAGCTTGAGGTGGGTTCCACTTTTATTGAACTCCGATGCTTTTTCCAAGTGACTCACCCCTCTTGCCCCTCCATTGCTGCTTCTAAACGCTTCTTGCCGTGCGCGACTCAATCCTTCACCAGACACACTCCAGTTTTTCTTCCAGAACCACACCTCGTGATTTCTTGAGCTACGATCTTCAGCACACGATTTTATTTCTACTGGCACTCAATATATCTATCAGCGGGCATTTGCCTACGTTAGCGTCGCAAAACTGCCTCCAATGGCGTCCAACCAGGCGGCTTCGCAGCCTGTGCTGCCCGAGTCTGGCAAGAGGAATATCTTGATTACAAGTGCCCTGCCATATGTGAATGCATACCCGCATCTGGGTAATCTGATCGGAAGTGTCTTGTCGGCCGATGTCTATGCTCGCTATTGCAGAGCACGTGGGTACCAAACCCTCTACATCTGTGGTTCTGTAAGTAGCAACACCTACTTTTTCGCCAAGCTGAATGTAGCTGACGAGGGGCAATCTTAGGATGAGTACGGAACCGCGACGGAAACGAAGGCTCTCGAAGAGGGAGTTGACCCAGAGACGCTTTGCGCCAAGTATCGAGCCCTCCACAAATCCGTTTATGACTGGTTTGGCATCGGCTTCGACATCTTCGATCGCACCCCGACCAAGCATCAAACTGCTATTGTCCAGGAAATATTCAGCGACCTGTATAAGAACGGATACATTGAGGAGCGAGAGAGTGCGCAGCCCTTCTGCCCTGTAGAATCACACAATACTTTCCTCGCCGATCGCTTTGTTGAGGGCGAGTGTTCTATCTGCCACGACAAAGGAGCTAGAGGAGACCAATGCGATGCCTGTGGTGCCATGCTAGACCCTCTCAAACCCGAACAAGATGCATCTAACGCAGATGGCCAGGCAGATGAGGCTAAGGCTACCGGTTGGCTCATCAACCCTCGCTGCAAGGTCGACGGTGCAACTCCCGAAAGACGGACGACGAAGCATCTTTATCTGAAGCTAGACGCTCTTCAAGAGCGGGTCGTTGAGTGGTATAAGTCAGCGACCCAGAAGGGAAACTGGAGCACCAATGCGCTGGCCATTGCTCAGGCATGGATCGACAAGGGTCTCCAACCCCGTGCCATCACCCGAGATCTTCGTTGGGGTGTACCCATTCCTGCGGTTGAGGGTCTCAATGTAGAGGAATATCTCAACAAGGTATTCTATGTCTGGTTCGATGCCTGCATTGGATATGTTTCTATCACCAAGACCTACACGGACGGTGACGACTTGGCGGGCACCAAGTGGGAGCAGTGGTGGAAGAACCCCGAGAATGTGACGCTTATGCAATTCATGGGCAAGGACAACGTGACATTCCACAGTATTGTATTCCCATCGTCGCAGGTTGGAACAAACCAGGAATGGACAAAGGTCCACAAAATCTCTGCGACTGAATATCTCAACTACGAGGGTGGTAAATTCAGCAAGTCCCGAGGTGTTGGTGTTTTTGGCCACAACGCCAAAGATACTGGCGTCGACCCTGATATTTGGCGGTTCTACCTCCTCTCGCGCCGACCTGAGACTGCTGACACCGAGTTCAAGTGGGAAGAGTTCCTCGACACCAACAACAACGAGCTACTGAAGAACCTCGGTAACTTCATCAACCGAGTTCTCAAGTTCTGCGTCGCTAAGCTGGATGGAGTCGTCCCCGAATCTAGCTATACCGACGATGTCATTGACGAGCACAAGAAGGCCACTAACCAGGCTCTCTCGCTCTACATTGAGCATCTTGAGGGTACAAGACTCCGTGCCGGTGTCACTGATATTCTTGACATATCCCAGCTTGGAAACAAGTTTTTGCAAGCGAACAAGCTCGATAGCAGACTGCTCACCGAGGAGCCCGAGCGCTGCAAGGCTGTCATTCGCGTCGCCATCAGCCACATCCAGCTCCTGGCTAACCTCGTTACTCCTTATATGCCTGGCATTGGCGCCGCCATCTTCAGCCAGCTGGGCATTGAACCCACGACTAGTATCCCCGACGTTTGGGATTTCGACTCGATTGTGGCCGGCCACAAGATTGGCACACCCAAGCCACTTTTCTCCATCATCCCATCCTCCAAGATTGAGGAATGGCAACTCGCATATGGCGGAGAGGAGCTAAAGCGACAGAAGGCTCTGCAGGCGGAGAAGGCGGCTGCAAAGGCGGCTGCTAAGAAGGCCAAGAAGCAGAAGTCCAAGGAGAAGAAGGACAAGGAGAAGGAGGCGGGAGGTCCGGCTCCGGTCCCAGTAGAGTCAGTTGGCAAGGAGGTGGCAGATCTCTCGCTCAAGGATAAAAACTAATTGAGATGAAAAAAAGAAGTGTACAGAAAGATAGATGGTCGTCGGTTGTGTAGCTAGGAGTTGGTGGTTGATCGATAGACCTGATAGATACCTGTTATAGATATCTAAGATGGGGAAAGAATTGATGAAATGGGTTTACTATACTTGTGGCAACTCGCTTGCTTTCACCGTGTGAACAATGAATTGGGAAATCATAATTCGTAAGCTGTTCTTGTTAGCTTTCAGATAGTTGTCAACTATCCTTCACAAACATCATCATCCGAATTTATGGTTGAAGCCTTTTCTCTTCCAAAACTCCAGAAACCATTACTTAATTAATAATTACCCCGCAAGTCCCGATCCGCTGCTAGGAGGACCCCACACATCCGTGATCGGTTTCGGTCCCGTCATTCTCTGGAAAGACGAATCAATTGGAGATGCAAGCGTTGTGGATTAGCCAATAATTTCAAGGTAGCATCACGATACATTTCCTGTGGCACTCGGCACCAGAGGCACTCCCTATCCCGGAGGGTTTTCACCCTTTAGAGCAATCCCGGTACTTACCATGTCGCAGGAGGCCGTCCGTCCGGTCAATTTGATGGACTCCATACCTAGGTTCCTTTGCTCCAAGGGTCGAAAATTGGGGCCAGTGCACGGATAGCTAGCTTCCAGGCAGCAAGGAAGGGGGACGGCGTATCCCCAATTCGAACAACGAGCAGACCAGCCGTGCGCCGTATCAAGTGCCCGAGCATGGCATTGTGATAGGCGCGCCGCGGATATTATACGGACGGCCCATTGGCCTATGGCGTCTAGGCCCAGGCTCACGAGCTGCCCACCTGGCTCGAAGTCGAGAGTGGACACCGCCCTGCGCGTACCCAGATGTGCCAGTACGCGATAGGGCTGAGGCCAGAACAGACAGCTGACGCGTGTTGCCTCTCCTGGCCTGACTTCAACAACGGAGAATTTTTCTTTCGTTCTTGGCTGGGTTGGAGCCGTTGCACTTGGCCGTCCAATCGCAGCTGGTTGCATCATCGCGACTAATCCAGTAGATTAACGATTGCCAAGCAAAAGCGCCATGGCGAGGCTGCGAGGACGTGGATCGGGCCTGTGAGCTTCAGAGAAGATGCCCCCCGCGGATTGGGTCCAGAACGTCCAAAGGCCAGTCCATCAGCCGCGACAAACGGAGAGTGGGGGGTTAGTACAATGTCGCTAGTATAGGTAGGTGGACGCGTGGCAGGAGGAATAATTATATCTAATGTCTCAGTGCTCTTTTGTCTTGGCAGTCCACAAGTTCGGAATCAGCCAGCGGTACCGGAAAGCCGAAAAGGAGGCACTCGAAGCGGCTGCGCGCTTGCTCCTGGCTGAGGCCGGCCGGCAAATGGGCATCAAGGAAATCCTCATTAACAAGGGACAGTGCAATCGGGCAATTGCATGCTTGAGGAATGATGCGATTGGAAGTACCAGCAGCCAACGAGATTGGGAGCTGGCCTGCAAGGAGCGGAATTGATCATTATTATGACCAAGGGCCAAAAAAACTCTTCGCTCGGCACCAAATTGGCCGGAATGCCAAGATCGTACACGCAACCAGTTTCATCTTCCTTCTTTGACTTCTTGGCTAATAAGCACATGAGCTAATGGACCGCCTGCTGGTCCCCAATTGGCCCAAACGCCGTGCGGCTCAGTGAATGCCTCTCGACAGGCTTGCCGATTAAGCGGATATGCTCAGATCAGTTGCACATTCGTGATTGCTGTGAATGGCATGCGACTCCGAAGAGGAGAGAGCCTGTGTATTGGGGACGACAGGGCCGTACGAAACGGGCAAGATCGGCTTCAAGTGAAAGTGGCTCGAAAACGGGCTGGTATAATAAGCTTAATCGTCCTTCACTCTGTTCCTGGATTGAACTCTCTTTTCTTATCCGTCATTCAAGGCTTAACGCCCATTGCTCAGGTAGTACCTGAATGATGGGCGTATCAGTGGGCTAGTGGTGACGTTAGCAGCAGTAGCAGGTCGGCTGGCGGGGGAGGTGCTGGGAGTCAGCGCATGGGCAGGGCGGTAGTAAGGGGGTTGAAGAACTCCAAGTCCACGCTCCAATCGTGCTTCAATAGTACTGCCGAGAGATGGCCCCAAGACCAGAGATAGAGATGACGAGGCCATCTCATCAATAGTATGGAGCCACTTGGGAGGAGCAGAGGTGGTAGCAGGAGCTGATGCAAGTACCAAGCCCAAGCCAAGCCAAGACCAGACAGTGGTAAATAATAGTAATAATTATATGGAGATTGGCGATGGCCTGCACCCTGCCTGCACACGGTTTCTCAGTAGCAAGAGAGCCAGGATAGAGGCAATTGGCCAGGGAAAGCAGCGCCAAGAGCGAGAGGTGTCATTGCTGCGCTGGGGCGGCAGACATGAGTTCAGCACACTCAGCTAGGCATGCAGCTCAGCCATTCCCACCTAGATGCCTACAGTATCGAGGCATTGAAGGTAAAAGGTAGGTTGGATTCTAGCAGTTGGAGAGGTAGGATGGATGTAAGATGTAGGTGCTGCGAGCGCAGGCGTGTAAGGCAGGCGCGTGGTGGTCGTCCGGGCCATTTCAAGGTTCGCCTCAGCTGCACCTGGGCCCTGGGGCTGGGCATTACAGCGGCGGGACGCCCCCGGGAGCGGGAGGGTACCTCTTCTCGGGGCGGGATGGCCCCCCCAATTAGATAAGTGGTGCGGTGCAGCGCAGAAGAGAAAAAGAGCTTACGACGACAACCCACCTTGGGCGCCTCAAGTATGCACTGGCTGGCCCCCCTCGGCCTCTGGGGGTCGGGTCCTTCCTTGCCTTTTAGTACTACAGCCAGACAAGTCCGTGGTTGTTGTTTTACATCTGCCTTTGACAACCTTTCCTCCTCGCCAACCCGTCCCGTTGATCGCTGGCGAATCTCGTCGCTCCCAGGCACAGCCTCCCTCAACCACGACGCCGCCCATGTCCGGCCCGCACTCGGTGCCTCTGGGCCCACTGCCCTGTAGATAGTACCAGATCCAACTGTACCAATACCGGTACCGTTCCTACTGTGCTGTACCTGGCTGTCTCCGGTTCCACTGCTATATGGACTGGACAGTGAGGTAGGGCATTGTAGGTTAGGTCAGGTACGTAGGTGTTGCGCTGGGGATTTGCAGTGTACGCGCGTCCAGCCTTTTCGAGCTGGATCTACGCTCCAGCCAGGCAAAAAAAGAGAGGGAGCCAGCAGAAAAGAAGGAACAAAGTTTCGAACGGGAGCGAGAGAGCCATGGCCGGTCCGTCGCTGTCCCACATCCTCGAGTCTCCCCAGCCGACGTCAGGACACGATCGATTCTCGACGACACTGCCCTCCATTGCGACGAGGAACGACAGTCCCCCAAACCACCACCTCCCCCACCACCAGCAACTCCACCACCACCATCACCACCACAGCCATGGCTACCCCAATAGCACGCCAATTTCGACAGCACCGTCGCATTCCAAACTTGGACCTGCCGTGTCATCAACATCACCACTCTCGCAGCATTCGACAATAACAACGTCGACAGTGCCAGTGCGACCAGCGCCGGGATTGGCCCTCCCAATTGAGTCGACTTCAGCATTAACACCACACACGTCTTCGCCAGCTCTACTTCCGGCGCCTCTCACAGCCTCCCCGACAACCACTTCGGCGTACAGCCACCAGACGCTGTCTAATAACTTTGACCACACCCCGTCTCACTCCCAGAGTCACGGCCGCGATAATGTGTCTGTCCAGCCAGGTGCAACGCTCCAGGCTTCGCAGAGGTCTCCACCAACAGCCGGCGCTGGCGCATCGAAGGCAGCGCAGGTAGCGACGCCCACTTCGCAGTCCAACCATCGTGGGAATAATCTGTATGCCTGCCGAGATTGCGGCCGGTCCTACTCCAGGCCCGAGCATCTGGTCCGCCATGTGCAGACGCACACGCTGGGTCGGCGGTTTGTCTGCGACATTTGCCAAAAGTCGTTTGCGCGCAAGGACCTGCTGCGGCGACATGTTGCGAACCACGACAACGACTCGCCCAAAAAGCGCCGGCGCACGACGACATCGCCAGGTGCCGGGCGAGTGTCGCATGCGTGTCGGTCCTGCGCGGTTGCGAGAGTCAAGTGTGACGACACCAAGCCGTGCAAGCGCTGTGTTAGTAGAAACCTCAATTGCGTCTCCACCGAGACTCCTTCGACGGCCGCCATGCACCTCATGCACTTATCAGCCAATGCGCACTCTGGTGCCCCCAACCCAAGTAACAGTGGAAATCTGAATAATGATGGTGATAAGTCGGTCGCGGCCACCCACTCTTCTCATTCGGCGACGTCGACCAGGGATTCTAATTCCCCGGCGCCCTTTACTACCAGTTCCCACCAACCCCGCTCGGTCACTCTGCCTGCGCCTCACTCGATTGTGCTTGATGCAGCCCACGACCGCAGCAATGTGAATCTACCTCATTCACTGGCAAAACTGCCCTTCCAAGAGCCAAGTTAGTTTCTCCCGAACCAGTCCGCTATGCCTGCGCCACCGTCCAATTGAGAGGCTGAAGCTGTGTCCATCCTAGCCCACAAAACATCAGCTAACAGCCATCAAATATAGGGAGCTCCGAGTTCTTGCTGCCGCCAATTGAGCTTGAGCCCTCCGCCAGTGCAATGGACCCCAATCGCCTCCCTTATGCGGATTTCTTGCGCGATATTCTTCTCGATGGCTCAGCAGACTCCGGCCGTGGATCCCACATCCAGGGTCTAACCGTGCTTGATTTTTGTGATCACGAGAATCTAGAGCTCACCGTCGAGGATTTGGCAAACTTGGAAGGTACGCATGGGCTGCCTCCCTCTGGATTGAAGTCATATCAATTGGGGCGTGGGCGAGATTAGCTGACCATAATCTTTATAGATGCCCTACATAGTCGCCAAGCCCTTGCGAGAGCATGGGGGAATCCACCAAGAACCTGGGAAGCGGGCAGCCAGGATAGTCCATATGGTCGCGAAGAGTCGTTTGAGCGAACTGTTCCAGAAACTCTCGTACAGTCTGGTCGGGACCGGGTCCTTGCGATCCTACTCAATGCAAGCCGCCAAAACCCAAGCCTGAACCGGATTGTGGGATCCTTTCCTTCTCTTGAGGTCATGGACTTCCTGGTTCAACAGTTCTTGGCCTCGATGGCACGCCAGCCATACGATTGGATTCATTTCCCTACTCTGAGGCCTGCATCTCAATTGCCGGAGTGGATAGCTATTGCAGCGGCGGCAGGGGCCGTGTCCTCACCCATACTATGCCTCCGCAAATTCGGCTTTGTTCTCCAAGAAGCAGTTCGTAAGTTAATACTGTATTCAAAATGCGCGAAAGCATGACGTGCTAACAGGTTTTCAGGAACCTCAATTACAACTCAGGTGAGCTTATTCCCAACTGCGGAATCGAAATAGCCAGCATCCCGCAGCGTTCATCCTCGTGAAGAAGTGTGCTAATAAAACAAAAAGCTGGAAGAGAATAACCTGGCAATCCAGGATATGGCCCTTCTTCAGTCATTGATCATGGTGCAGGACGTTGGTCTCTGGAGCGGGAACAGACGCAAAATGGACATTGCAGAGTGCTATCTGGCAACTCCTGTTCAGGTTAGTATGCCAAGATCATGGCTGATGATGCCAAGTTTCTTTCAAGCCAGCTAATTATGTTATAGATGATGCGACACCGGCGAAAATTCCAGGGCTCTCATTACCCTTCAATGTTGGCTGACGCCGCAGACGAAGGTGCTGTTCTCGAAGACAAATGGCGAAGATGGGTCGACAGAGAGAAATGGAAACGGTTAGTCGCGGTTCTGGACATTTCTAGCTGCTGGAAACTGACACTTGCATAGATTAGTATTCCATTGCTTCGTTAGGGATGCACAGTGTTCCATGGCGACGCTTACGAATCCCACAATATCCTATGCTGAACTCACATTGCCTCTACCCGAATCCGGAGAACTCTGGGCTGCGACTACAGCGCTGGAGTGGAAGACGGCCTGCCTTCAAACCCATACCGATCGGAATGTCAAGGCACCAACGGTCGGTGACGTTATTCAAGACTGCCAGCTCCTGCGTTCGGCATATCGACAACTGGACGTGCCCTTTTCACTGACTATATTCATGCACGCTTTCTGGGCGCTTATCCTTGAGCATCGTCAGTTGAGCGCCATCCATCGGTCCAGGTCCAACTTGGGCGGGAGCTCAATGAGCGGAAACCAAAACCTGTTGCTGAGCTCTAGACACCAAGAACTGGTGAAGGATCTACAAACTTTCCAAATGGTATCTGCAGAGTGGCTTGAGATGACCTGCCAAGATCACATGGTTCTCAATCTGTTGTTGATGAACCTCCATGCTTCTCTAGATGACATTCAGCTGTTCACAGGAAAGGACGGCGAGGAGGAGGCGCGACGTATCTACCCAGTTCTTCAGCAATGGAGCACAACCTCGGAGGCCCGGTCTAGCATTTGGTATGCTGGTCAAGTCATTCGATATGCGAGGCAGTTTGCCCCAGGACAGCTCAAAGACTTTTATGCCGTGGCGGTCCAACACGCGGCAGTTGTACTGTGGGCATATGGGGTGATGACGAGAGCGGGCCGAAGACAGCGATCACTCTCACCCCATCATTCCCAAGAGCTGCTCTGGCTGGATGATGGGGACAGCGCGGCCATCCAAAATTTCATTGGTATTGGTAGTGGACGGCCGGTACTTCGCAACCTACAGGGGAGTGTTGTTGTGTCAGAGTCGCTCATCGACGAACCATGGGGATGCATGAGCATTGTGCAAGAGGTGTTGCGGTCCAATTTCAAGTATAATGAAGCGATACCCACAGTGGTAGAGAATCTCTGCCATTTGTTAAAGCAGGTGGGAGATGCATCCTGGACAGGAGGACAGTCTATCTGATCTGCCAGAGCAAGAGGTATATACAATGATCTAATAAGGGTATAAAAGTTCTAAATAGCAGCAGTGATGATTCTGCTTGGCCAGCCACGCGCAGCCCCATTTCTAGGCCGTACTGATGATGATCTAGGCGAATTTGCCGGGCCAGGTAATTTAATAGCGAATGGTACTTTGTATACCTGGACGCATGTAGATACTTATATTAATCTTATTTGTTTAATTACAAGATCTTGATGAAGACCATCGTTGGGCACATAGTGGAAGCGTACACAATTTCAGCAGACGACTACCTCCTAACTGATTCTGCCTTTTCTTCTGGGTGGCGAACCCCTCCCAGCTACTTCCCGCCTCATTCATCTCCTGAGCTGTCTTCTCGACGTCAACGAAGTGTCAGCTTAGCGAATGGAGCAGGGCCCCATTTCATTGCAATTCCATGGTCTGGTCCTTTGCAAAGAGTTATTTACATGTGATGAGCTTGCTTGTCTCAATTCGAATTATTCGCCCCGTCGTATCTCGAGCCTGGCGTTCAAGGCACGTAGCTGAGTTCTAGAGCTGGGCTGGCCCAGTCGTTCCTCCATAGAATGCAATGTCTCCATCATTGTCTCATTAATCTGAGACTGTGTTATTATTTGCCGCTTCAGATTATTGATAGTGAGTGTGTTTGCCACATCCTTCATTTTTAGATCACCGATATCCTTCTCCATCTCCTTTAAGCACTGTTCAAAGTACCCTTGGGCGGTGTTAAGAGATCGCTGGATTTGCGCCACTATCGGATTAGGCGCTCTGTCTGCGGCCAGCAATGTCGCAATATTCTCTTTAATGCCCGATATCATGGCGTACATCTCTGCGTGGCTCGGGATTGGAGCAGTATCGCCAGGATTGCCCTCTTGGAGGTTGCTTAGGGAACGAGAATTTCGGTTCTGACAAAGGCCTGCAACTGACTGCTCGACTAGGGTCACTCTTTCCGTAATACTTTCGAGGGTATCTTGGGTATTCTTCCTAAAATTGTCGGCATCCCCCCTCAACCTTGTTACATCGTCTCGGATGTCTGCTCGTCGATTTGCTGCTGCTCGCCTGTGCACCAATAACTCATGTGACAGCTTTTCAACATCGCCCTTGACCGTGTGGATCAGCTCTGAGATAGTTTGGCGAGACTGTACATCGGGATGTAGTGTTGCTACCAACGGCCGCTGCCCCTCATCTTCTAGCTCTGTTTCTGGCTCTGGCTCTGGCTCTGGTGATGGGATGTATTCAGACAGACTTCCACTCCCTGATTCATGTGAGCCCCCATCCGTGCCGTCGTCGTCCATGGGTGCTAGGTGCTGGGAGGGATTCTCTGAAACATCTACTCGGAGGACCATCCAAAGTGGAATCCCCGAGTAGTATGATTCCACGCCTAAGCTTCCAGACAACGAGACAAGGTCGTCTGTGCCATCGGCCGTCCGAGGACCAGGCCCACTCGTTCTGTTTATCGTCTCGTCCGTCCTGGGCTTACGCACGCCCTCGTGGACCGCTGGGTAGACTCGACGGTTGGAGGCCCAGAACAATAGTCGTTCATGTGTGGGATATTGTGCTATAAGAAAGTGGCCTAGAGCGACAGTCCAGTTCTCCTCGCATAGATTTGCAGCTCGGTAGAGTTGGGTCGCGCTGGGACTACTCCATGCAACTCGCGCTTGGCGATAAGCACGAGCGACGAGGAAGTAGTGCCTCATTTCTTGATGACTGCCAGCCTCCCAGGATGAGCCTTCACGGAGGTACACGAGATATATCTTCCAAGCTATGTTTCTGCTGCGGGAGTTGTCGTTTGCGGCATCGATCTCTGCCCACCGGACCCAAGGCAGATTGGTGTTCTGGGGAGGGCCTAGCGACCCGATTGTTGGTAAGTTGTCCATATCAGCAGTAGCTCCCAGTTATGTACTCGCAGGAAGCGGTACAGATGTCAGTACTCTAGAAGTATCAACGTTCTCCGAACGTTGTGAGAAGAAAATCTGATGTGACACTAGGTGCCGCCTTGTGTAATGCTAAGGAAGCATGCTTAAGGTCGCGTGATCGAGAACAGATGAAAGTACTTTATTATGTGGTATGAAGTACGTAGGTAGTTTGCAGTTTATCCCTTCTCCAAAATTAATATCACATCTACTGCAAATCTTAGGAGCCTGTTAAAATATAACCTCCAGTAGGTCTAGTAGGTGCTAATCAGACTGAGGTATAGTGAGACTGACGGAGGCAGAAGTACGACTGGCTGATCTAAGATGTAGCCTCAGTTATGAGCAACCTGATGTAGGATTAGGATTCTGCTGCGAGCTTGATGAATGGTAGCAAACTCTGAAAAACAACCAAGCTGCCTGTCTAGTGGTCCGGTTTATCGGTACATAAGAGATCCCCGTATGCTTCACATGTGGTGGGCATTTCAAGCTTCTCGAGAGAGCTTCTGTCCTGCTCGACGAGGTGGATAGTCCAAGAGCGTCCATTTGGAAGCCAAGGAGTACGATGGATGGGTATCCGCAGAATGATTTTGTTGAAGCTAACTGGACTTCCTACCCCACTTGCTACTTGGCCTGTGCAAGACTCCCGCTCTCATCAGTCATACGGAGCTTGCCTTTCACTGTTTTTTGCATCTTGCGGTAAGTGCTTGTCGCGTGGCGGAGTATCAGCGTTGCCACGAAAGGGCCAACTGAGCGAATGTCGCCACAAGGGCCATCCAGTGCTTTGTCTTCTTAGCGGAGGTGAGACCGGGCGGGGGTTCCAAGCAAAGTACTTGCTTGGACAAACGAGGTTGATGACGCCGCCACGACGCTGGCTATGGCACGCCTAGAGAGGCATTGAATTCATGACGCTCAAGCGCTATGCTGCTTACTTATTCTCGAGCCTGTGTTTAGTATCATCAGATTATTGACTGCTGATAATAAATGGTAAAAGGTAATACATGAACTATTAACTTGTTCGATTGTGGGCTCACAGGTATTATCGTCCAAGAGTTCTTGGGTCGAATGTTCATGGGCCTCGGTATCGATAATGGGGCCTCATTTGAGGTCGATGGCTCCAGTAGTGGGATCTGGGGAAGTATTTTGATGTCTTTAGCAGCCAGAAGACAAGACAGTTGCAAGAAGCCAGAGCAGAACTGCGAAAGGCCACAGCAGGGCCACAAAGAAGGACAAGAGACCGACAGTTGAGGATGCAGAATTGGTGATGGAGATGTATATCGTCGAATATTGCCTAATAATCGTAGAAAGCAGTCGCCCTTCAATTGATGTCTCATTTATTTTGTCACCCTTTGCCAGGGACCCCGGTAGCGATTGCCAAACGGGCAGATCCTGGTCCGTTGATTCGACAGTGGCAGCAGCTATGACGCATCGAGTGGCAGCCAAAACCATCGGGACTTTACAGGCAGATGATGATCCAACCTACCACGTGGGAGCGCTTCTGCCTCAGAGCTGCTAACCAGAGCTCCGGCCTGCAGCCTTCATCAGGAGGCCTGGTCATCTCGCATTCTCCCATCAGCTTTCCTAGAAACAGCATTCTTGCATTGCCTGCATCCCGCCCCGTCCTACGCGAACGAACCCGGAACGGTGGGCAAATGATTAAACCGTCTCAGCCAGCTCAGTCATTCTTTATGCCGCAGCTTCCGGCAAGCTCCATGCGGACCAAGAGCAGCTACCACCCCTCCGACAACATCCTTCGCGACCTTCGATAATACCGTTCCCTTCGCTCTCCCGTCCTCTCCCGTCCTGTGCCGTTGCCAGCACCACCGTCAGATCTGGTCCCCCGCCCGCCGCCGACACAATGGGATCCGCGTTCGAATCCGCCAGCGCCTGGCCGTCGTCGACAGCTGCCATCGTCACCGCGACAGCCATAGCCACCACAGCCTTCATCGCCTTTGGCAAGATTTCTCTGTGGCCTCAGAAAGAGAAGGTCCTGCCCAGCCCGCTCAAGACGCTGTCTCCAGCTGCCGTCGCCTCGTCCGATACTTTCAACGACCTCGTCTACCAACCTGACCAGTTCCCCGGCGCAAGGGATGTCGACACTCCGGTGAGTCTATATTCCCATTTCCTCGTGAAGTGTGGTGAGAGGTGGGAGAGTGGGCCGTATTACAAGCTTAGCTTTATATCATACGATCTGGAGGCTAATTAAGACGATGTTCTGCATAGTATGGCTCTACCCGTGTCTATGAGTTTGGTCCAGAGGATGGCGAGAAGGTCCTTTTCATCCACGGCATTAGTACCTCTTGTGTCACCCTCTGCCGCATCGCTGAAGGCCTCGTTGAGAAGCATGGCTGTCGTGTAATGTTATTTGTAAGTGGTTTCCTCTGGCTTCCGGTCTACTACCTATCATGCGACCTTGGCATGTATTCTCTTCGGGGGGGGATCTCAAACCAGCTGACGAAGACCTTCTTCCTAGGATCTATTCGGCCGTGGCTTTTCTGACGGCGTAGGCGACCTGCCCTATGATGAACGCCTCTATCTCTCCCAAATCCTCTTTGTGCTCGCCTCTAGCCCTCTCGCCTGGACCGGCAAGGATGCCCGTCTCCGTGTCGTCGGGTACTCCCTTGGTGGCGGCATTGCCGTTCACCTGGCCAACCATCTGCCTCATCTGGTAGACTCCCTCGTCCTACTTGCTCCTTCTGGCCTTATTGACGCCCGGAGCTTTGGCATCGTTTCTCGCTTCGTCTTCTCTTCTGGTCTAATCCCAGAGCGCATCCTGGCCGTCTTGACCAGGAGCCGACTACAGCAACCCATTGCCGCCTCCAAGTCTCCCCGCCACAACTTGCCCGCCAAGCTCGAGACCATCGCCAAGGCTGAAGCGGCCGACCCTCCAAATGGCGAGGATGTATCTCCCCTTGAGCACCGCGTCCTGATGTACGTCCGTTGGATGGTCCTGAACCACGTGGGATTCGTCCCATCCTTCATGTCCAGTGTTCGGCACTCTCCCTTGACAGACCAACATGACAGCTGGCGCCGTCTTGCTGACCGGAGACCCGGGAGCACCGCCATCCTCCTCGCCAAGAGCGATGAGATCATCGACATCGACGACTACAATCGCCAGGGCCCTTCATTGATCGGCGGCAAGGAGAACGTTTTGTGGCGAGAGCTTGAAGGCGGCCACGACTTTGTCATGACCCATTCTCGGGACATCCTCAAGGTCCTTGACGAATTTTGGTATTCTAACTCCTCTTCCTAAAGCCTTGTTAGGCTCAACTAGAATTAAAGGGTACGGCTATAACGGTATCTGGGGCGGTGTTTGATTTTCTTCGAGGGAATGGAGTTCTTCCACAGGACAGAGTTTGGCGTTTTCTTTTCCCGTCACCGGTTTTCCACTCTACGCTGCACTTTTTCTCCTTTGGGTACGAACCCCGGCGCCATGGTGATAGAATACAGACATGCAGAAAGACTGTTGCTTCGCTCTTCGCAGACCAGCTTTAATGAGAAATAGAGTATATTACATAGGGATTCTTGTGTACATTTTTGAGATTATTGAATATTTTTTTATCTCAAGAATGATATATCTATCCTAAAAACCGGTGAATAAAAACAATGCGAAGGGGGGAGCTGTATCCTGAAAAAAAGGGAAATCCAAAAACAATAGAGCAGAGTAGTCTCATGCCAAAAACGCGCAAGGTTGGATGCCATATTAAAATGCAACATGTTCACAAAACGAATGCTGCACATGTCTTCTAAATTTGAATGCAACAGAGGTGTCTCTCGACTACCGGTCAAGAGCCTGGCTTTGGCACTATAAAGAGAAAGCAAGGTTAGCAAATCGACCAGTCTGCGCATCCAGGGGAGAGGGCAGATGGGATTGATTAGGTCCCATAGCTGCGAAACATACCATCTGATAATAAACGCCCTGCTTCTTCAGAAGCTCCACGTGAGAACCCTTTTCCAGGAGCTTGCCCTCGCCCAAGACAAAGATGACGTCGGCATTCTGCACAGTGGCCAGCCGGTGAGCCACGACGACCATGGTCCTGCCCTTTCCGGCGCGTTCAAACGCCGCCTGCACGAGCTTCTCGCTCTCCGAGTCCAGGGAGCTCGTCGCCTCGTCCAGCAGAAGAATATCGGGCTCTCGGATGAGGGCGCGCGCGATGGCGATGCGCTGCTTCTGCCCGCCGCTGAGGGACACGCCCCGGCTGCCAATGTTGGTATTGTAGCCTTCGGGTAAGGAGACGATGAAGTCGTGGATGGAGGCGTCGCGGCAGGCTGCGTGTAGCTTCTCCTCCGAGACGGATTCTGGGTCCACTCCTAGTAGGATGTTCTCTTTGAGGGTTCCTATAAATCTGTCAATGCCTGTCACTTCTTATTTATATTGCCCGCCCTGAGACGCTCGTACCTTGGAAAAGAGTGGCCTCTTGAGCTACAAGCGACAAGTGCTTGCGGTAAGAGTAGATGTTCAGCTCGGAGATGTCCTTGTCATTGCAAAGAATTTGTCCGTGATCAAGGTCATAGAATCTCTCCAAAAGGGAGATAATACTCGTCTTGCCGCACCCGGATGCGCCTACCAAGGCAGCGAATTGACCCTTCTCTATGGTGAGATTCAAATTCTTAAACACTGGTGTCTCGCGAGTTTGGTATTTGAACCCAACGTCCTTCAGCTCGATCTTCATACCACCTTCGACATTCTCAAAAGCTGGCTTGTCGTCGACTTGATCATGCAACCGAGACTCTCTGGCGTCCAGTATGCGATTAGATGCGGCTGTTACTTGCGCAGCATTAGGCCCAAAACTCAAGCTCTGCCCGGACGACTCGCCAGCGTTCATGATAGCCATGAGACAGACGAAGAAATCCATCACATCAAGTTCGCCTCTGGCCAAAAGTCGGCCACCGTAGTAAAAGATGAGTGTTTGACAAGCCATGGTGGAGCTATCGGCAAATCCGAAGATGATGCTGACCCAGCGGGCCTTCTTGTAAGCCGTGACAACATGGCCTTGGCAGAGCTTTTCAAATCGTTCAGTAATCGAGTCCTCCAGAGTCAAGGATGTGACAGTCCGGAAAGCGCCAAAAGACTCAGAGGCAAACTGGGAGCTCTCTGCAAAGACTGCATTATTCATCTTCTCGAACTGAAGCTCGTATCGCAGACGGAAATACGAACCTGCCGCTGTGATGGGTAATACGACACAGATAGCAACGAGGGCCAGCTTCCATGTGAAACAGAGAGCAATTATAACGGATCCGAGGATGCTGAAGAGGGCAATGTATACCATGGTCATGTTCACTCCCATCAGCTCCTCCAATTTCTGGGGGTCATCCTTGGTGCGAGATGTCATGGTACCGTGGGAATGATCTTCCTCGTCAAAGAAGGATGCCTTTTGGAAAAGAATCGTTTCAAAGTATTGCTTCTGGTATTTGGCGCGAACGACACCAGCCATGCTAGTCGACGAGAAGAACCCACCAAAATAGACGATTCCCACGCCGATAGCGAGAACAGTCCACATCAGAGACCAGAATTCGGCTTCGGACATGAGTTTGGGCGGATTGTCGGCGTATTTGAACAAATCGATCGAAGATGCAAATAAGAAAGCCTGAATTGGCACTGATTCAAAATGGTTAGAAAGATAATCCGGAAATGAGAGAATGATTCATGGACATACAACCGGCGCCGGCTCCAGCAGCAAAAGCCACTGCCAAAAACATCAGATACCAGTGTGAACTTGTTTCATAGAAGAACAATCCGAAAGACTTGAAGAGGTTTCTCTTTTTCTCGTCAGGCTTCTTTGTGCTGCCTTTTCCAATCTCACGCTCTGATTTCGCTTGGCTCTTCTCGCGAGTCAGAGAGTCAGCCTCGTCCAAACTGAGGTCGGAGTCAATGTTTGTGCTGGTCGGCTCCCCAAGAGAAAGTGCTTGGGCTTGGACAAGGCCATGATACACTCCACCATCATTGTTCATGAGAGTCTCGTGAGTTCCGGTCTCGACCACCTTTCCCTTCTTTAGCACAATAATCTTATCGGCCTTCTTGATCGTGGACAGACGATGAGCAATGGTGATGGTGGTTCGTCCTTGAGCCACCTTATCGAGGGCAGCCTGAACAATCTTCTCTCCACGGACATCGATCGCACTGGTTGCTTCGTCGAGGATTAGTATGGAGGGCTTCTTGATGATGGATCGAGCGATGGCAATGCGTTGTTTCTGACCGCCCGATAGCCGATTTCCAGAATCGCCGACCAAGGTATCATATCTCTGGTGTTGCCATCAGTGGTCAGAATTCCATATTTACAAAAGAGTAACCACATGAGCCGTTGGGACTTACCTCCGGGAGCTTGTCAATGAACTCGTCGGCAAAAGCCTCAACACAAGCCTCCTTGACTAACTCTCGCTTGCGCTCCTCGGTCTCATTTTCCCATGGTGAACCCACAAGTCCGTTAGCAACATTCTTGAAAATGGTATCGTTGAACAAGAAAGGCTCCTGTTGCACAAGGCCAATCTGCGATCTCCACCATTTTGACTCGATGTCATCGAGAGAATGACCGCCGGTGGTGACAGAACCGCTGAGCGGAACCGCAGGTCCGGTTTCCTCAGGCTCGACTCGCTCAGATACTTCTTCGTCATCGTCGGCTTTCTTCTTGTCCTTCTTTTTCTCCACCGCCTTGGCAATAACATACTGGCCTTGGAGACTGTACCATTTTTCAATGAGCCCTACAATTGTACTCTTGCCACTACCAGATGGCCCAACAATAGCAGTGATTTTCCCTGCCTCAATGTTCAGATCCAAGTTGTCGAGGATCTTGACATGTGGCCGGCTAGGATACGCGAATGTCACCTTGTTAAACAAAATATCCTGAGTTGCAGAGACCTCGGGATCTTTGAGGTGCCCGTTGTTAGGCTGGGGGGCATCAATTACCTGATACGAGGTTAGCCTTGGAAAGTTGGGGGTTTGACGACAAGCGCTAGAAACTCAATGTTTCCTTAGCAGACCAATACAACTTACAGTCCAAAACTCACAGGCCGCGACAGATGCCTTGCCAACAGCCAACAGGGGCGTAGACACACGCTCCAACGAGAAGACCGTCATCATGACGGAAAGGAGGACTACAGTGATGACACCGACATTATCAATTCTGCCTTGGGTGAAAGCCCTTGTTCCATACCAAAAGGCCAGGCCGAAAGAAGCAAATGCGCCGAAAAACACGAGAGAAAACTGAAGTGAAATCAGAGGCGACATGAACTGAGAGTAAACCGTTAGCAACAATAGTGCACGCGGGACACACGGACAACTCAGACTTGAGCATGTTTCTTAGCTTCTTCGACAAAAGCAGCGTATCGTTCAACGGTTCGCTTCTCGGCGCCACAGGCCATGATCATCCTAACACTAGCAAGGGCCTCGCTGGCAACGGCTGCTGATCCGGCTTCGGCTTTGCCCATCCGAGCGTGACCCTTGAGGACAAGTGGTAGGATGATGGAAACGGCAAGAAGTATGAAGACGACACCGGAGAACGTGACCAGGGTGAGCTCCCAGCTCCAAGTAAAGGAGACAATGATGGAGGCGATGATCAAGGAGTTATACTCGACAAAAACGCCCAGCTTTTCGGAGATTCCAAGTTGGAGAATGTTGCTTGTTGAGGTGATGGTTCCGACAGCATACCCGGGGGGCAAGATATCTCCTTCATGTTAGATCCCGGTTGAAAGAACAAGCACACACATTTATTTACCTGTTACGTGGACGGTCTGGTTAAACAATGACTTCAGATAGTGTAATCGGATTGCGGCAGAAAGTCGAATCCCTATCATTCGAAATGCAAACTTTACATCAGTTAGTAAGGGATCTTGCAAGATGGAGCAAAGCAGCACCTGATCAAGCACTGAGGTCCGGTAGGCAGGGCACTCACCTTGTTGATGCTCCCAAGACCAAACCGGGCAAGGAAAAGACCAAACATGGTCAGTCTAAATTGAGAGTATGAGCTTAGAGCCGTGCGTCAGCCGGAACATTCTGCTCTACTTACGAAAGTTGATTGATGTCTTTTTCAAAGCCGTCAACTCTACCCGTAGAGAATTCACTAAACTTTCCTACAAATCTGCCTATAAAAGTGTCAGTCCCGCGTTTGAGGGCGGTTCCGTAGCCCGACAGTGATAGGCATGAGAGGTTAATATACCAAAAATCACATTCATCAAAGGCAAGGTCACTCCTGACCCAATCGCAGCAATGAGCCCGGCAGCATAGGCCGCCAAGTCCCATTTCGTTGCATATCGGAAGATGCGCTAAAACAATATAAAAGAAAAGACGGAGTAAGCTTCTGACATTGCGTTGAATAGCGTTCTTGTACCAACCATATAATCCTGGAAAGTGGCTGTCCGTTCAGGCCGCGCATGCTTCTCCTTGTCCTCTTCAGCATCTGGAACACTGGTGACAACTGCCCCTTGAGTAGCCTTTTCAGTTGGTGGGCTCTGGTCCGCCGTTGAAGTGACGGCCTCCGGCTGTTGGCTCTTCTCATCAGCCATGGCGCGTTATGGTTCTCCGCCCATCTACCACGGAAACTAGTCTGGGATGAATTAGGGGGTAGAACCCAAATGGCCAGGTCGGCAGCTGGTTGGCGAAACTGAGGCAGATGAGCCAGGAGACAGTAGACAGAGAAAAGGGACAGACATGGCAGGACAGTCAGCCTGTCTTAATAAAAGGATCGCGACGGTTTGGACCCTGCACCTGCACCTGTAATTGACTGAAGCTGTGGCGTTGGAGCTGCCCCCCATGCCTTAGGCAACCGTTGGTACATTGGCGGTACCTTCTACCAGCAGGCAGCTCCGGTTAAGGTAGCCCCTAGGGCACCTCAGGCAGTCATCTTCTCGCCCATCGGGTAAGCACAGGTGCGTGGATGGGTGCTCGGATAAAAAGACGAACCCGAAATACGACTGGAACCATCGCTACCTACACAAGAAAGCCACCGCTCAAGCTGCTTCACCTTTGATTGTCTTGGTACCGTGCAAGTACTCGGTAGTGTGCACGCATGCGAATTAGAAGTGCTCCAACCTTAGCGAACGGTCCAATAGGGGGTCCGCTTTTTGGCATCAGGAGGTCGGCTTTCGCTGAGATCTTCCGGGGGCCCACCTTTGCCACTACCAAGGCTTGGCACTGCAACAGTTATGCGTTGAAAGTTTACTGTTAACGGTTGTTCTCATATTACATATCGACATGTATGCTGAGAAACTCTAAGCTGCTTGACTGTAAATAACCGCAAGCTGATTATTGCGTACCATGACTATTTGCTCTATCCACTCACACTCTGAAAATCAGTTTGACAAGCGTTGGGCGTTAGGTTAACAGGTCTGTAAATGATAAGATTAGCGGTCGGGTCTAGACGCACATAGTTCGGATCCCTGCCTGTGGGCTTCCTCGATGCATGTCTTGCTTCGCATTCCGAAGGTGGAAAGGCACTTATCTTGTCTAAAACTTACATTCAGAAAACAGAAGAAATGTATAGCATAATAGTAAATTCAATACAACGCTTGGCTTAATGTTATATTGGGCATCTCACAAAACTTAGTAGGCCGTTACATGCCGTTTGAACGCTTTTCCAAATGCCAACATCAAGCTCGGGGGGTTTTGCTCGATCCAGCTTCTCGGGTTCGTCGCATTGTGGTGCCCCATTTGTATCAAACCCCCCCACACATGCTCCGTGTGGCTGATGGCTCGGCCGGTCGGTGTCATCTTCCACCCCGAGATGCCGGTGGGAGCTCAATTGCAGCCGAAACTTCAGGCTTTCAAAAACTTAGCAGCCAACTGACGTAACATTTGAGACACTCAAACATTATACTGCTTATTTCGAGTCTATGACAGGTATTGTCAGATTGTTGAGGGCCAATAATAGGTGCCCGACAGAAAGAAACACAAAACACAAAACATTGCGAATTTATTTGCGAAATAATTCTTGAAAGCGCATCATAATACGGTTGCAGCAACTTCATCAATCCTCGTTCATTTCATCGCAATACTATAGCAAGTAAATCTCGTATGCCCCATATCCACTTACATCAACACAGTAGCCGCTTCTATGAGCAAAATCTTCAAGCGGCATGAACGCGCGATGATGGAATGATGCCTTGTTTTTCGTCGAAGTTCGGTTAACCATACGAAGTTGTACGAGATGTAAGTTCCAAACTTATATGTTGTAGATGTTGTCGGATATGTTATCGGCCTCTGCCTACTGAACCCAAGGCAGATTCGTCCCTTGCCTAGAGACCCAATCTCAAGCAAATTTCTCATAGAAATAGCAGACTCTCGGCAATTATATGTGATACACCTAGAACAGGATAAGGTTTGACTGTATGCAGCATTATACGATGTCGAGGAGAGTTGAGTAGGGGTGCGTGAGGCTGGACAGACGAGGTTGTTTATTCTAGTTCTAGGCGTTGGGTGAAAACCTATCCTCCGGTTGGCCTGCCCATGCTGATCAGCTTGAGAGAAGAGAGAGAAGGGAGATCTGCTGGGTGAGGGTGCCACGGTTGCTGCGCGAACAGCCTGGGGACCTGGATCCCGGTTTCATTGTACTGCATATTCTAAGCTGATATTTAGCATCGCATTGGGGAAACCCCAACCAAGCTCCTTGCAGACAGAGACGAGTCATAGGTACGATATGTATGGGCTGGTTCATCGATGATGTTTGCTCGAGTGAGCTTTGTGTGTGTTTCGCCCCCCACATTCAATACTCAATCATTCAATGCGTTGCTCGCCTTGAAATTTGTAGGTCTATTTTACCGTGTTTAAATGTATCAAATTCAATCGCTACATTTGGAGCCAGATATCTGGTAGGTATACTTCGGCATTCGGTTTAGATGTTGGTTTTGTTCGAATTTCAAAGTAGCGACTCGGGTAGCCAGTTCACATAGGTAGTTAGCCTCAAGTCTCGTCCGTGGTTCAGCGTCTTATTCAACCAAAGAACCAGCAGATTACTTCGAATCCCAACACTAGGCAACATGAGAAGCCCCAATCTATTTCCTGACCCCCGAACAACGATAGTACAGTCTTATCGCACGGAAAAATTTCTTTATACTTAAACATAACGGGGTCTACACAGCCTACTATACATGAGGAGAGTAAATATACTACACGCATTTCAACAGCTCGGCCACCAATGTAAAGCATCCACCCTAGAGCATAACTTAGATTATGATGGGCTGAATGCGAGTGTCGTGTTTAGCGATTGGACTAACTATCTTTCCAATAATCAACAGCGCTTGAAGCAGCCGAGGAAATTTTCCATCAAGCTTAGGGTGAGTCAAAGGGCGAGGTGCGTCAGCAAGACGCCTCATACTCACGCGATGAGGTCCACTGCTGTCATGTGTGTGGTGGGTCGGTAAAAACGAAACAGGAGTTCTGACACATCTATCATACTTCCCAACTCCAGCTATCAAATGATCGAAAGGCAAAGACGTTCTAACACGGTAACCAGAACATATTGATGCTTCAAGGTTCTCTAGGCCACCTGCGTGTCGATCTCCAGGCACTGAGGCGGGTCCACCAGATACATCTTCCAGAACATGAATTGATAAATCATAAAATAGCATCCATGGTTAGATGATAGACTGTATTGTCTGTTTATTTGTTTATATTTTTAGCCCAAAATAATTAAAAAAAAAAATTAGGTCGTCATAGCTTCGAGCGTACTTCTAGCACTGGACGGGCTGCCCCTCAACCCCTCCATCCGCCTACAGCTTAGGGCGGGGCATCAGCGACGTAACCCGGTGCAAATGGCAGCTGCTATTGGCGGACGCGAAAGGTGCCTGCAGTGGAAAGTTTTTTGGGCAGGAGTGATGTGACTCTCCTCATCCACTTAGCACCAGTCAGTAGACCCGGGCAGTGTTTTACCCCTCCATCCGTGTGGATGAAGATACTTGCAGGCAGATTTAGGTCTGCCAGACCATTACTCCAACCCCTCCTTGAGTCACAACTGCGTCCAAGGCCCTGGCAACCGACTCTCACGGCCCGCAGAAATAACCAGATCCTGTTGTCTGCCGCTCTCGCATTACCTGCCTCGCCTCGTGGTTACTCTTCCTCCAACACACCACCCGTAGAATCCATCGACATGGCTCCCAAACCCAAGTTCGAGCTCAAGACCCCAAAGGGCACCAAAGATTGTGAGTAGGCAGAAACACGCGAAGCACACCGTCATGTCTACGGATCCGGATATGCGCAAGCGAACCGAACGAATCCAATGACCAATTCATTATCAGCTGTCTGACCGTCGCGTGTAGGGGGTGGCCAGGATATGGTTATTCGTGACAAGATCTTCAGCACCATCACAGAAGTCTTCAAGCGCCACGGTGGCGTCACCATCGACACGCCCGTCTTCGAGCTCAGAGACATCCTGGCCGGAAAATATGGCGAGGACAGCAAGCTCATTTACGACCTCGCGGACCAGGGTGGCGAGATCTGCTCCCTGCGTTACGATCTGACCGTCCCATTCGCTCGTTTCCTTGCCATGAACAAGGACATCCAAAATATCAAGCGCTATCACATCGCCAAGGTCTACCGAAGAGATCAGCCTGCCATGACCAAGGGACGAATGAGGGAGTTCTATCAATGCGATTTCGATGTTGCCGGTACTTACGACCCTATGTTGCCCGATGCCGAGATCATCAGAATCATCTGTGAGGTTTTCGAGGGATTGGGCTGGAACAAGACGTACACTATCAAGTTGAACCACAGAAAGATTCTGGATGGCATCTTCCAGGTCTGTGGAGTGCCCGAAGACAAGATCCGCACCATTTCATCTGCGGTAGATAAGCTCGACAAGCTCCCATGGGCCGACGTGCGCAAGGAAATGACAGAGGAGAAGGGACTCGACGGTGAAGTTGCTGATCGCATTGGGGAGTGGGTTGTGCTGAAGGGACAGAACGATCTCCTCGAGCGCCTCCGAAGTGACGAGAAGCTTTCTGCCAACGAGTTCATGAAGCAAGGCATGACCGACCTCGGTCTCCTTTTCGAATACCTCGAGGCTTTCAATGTCCTAGACAGAGTCTCTTTTGACCTAAGCTTGGCCCGTGGTCTGGATTACTACACAGGTATTATCTACGAAGTGGTAACGGAAGGGTCTGCTCCCTCTACAACTCCTAGTGCCGAGCAAGCGGAGGCACCAAAGCCTGCCAAGAAGAAGAAGGGTAAGGGTCCTGATGCCGAAGACGATGATCGGTCAAACGACCCTACTGTTGGTGTTGGTAGTGTGGCGGCAGGTGGTCGTTACGATAATCTTGTTGGCATGTTCTCTGGCAAGACTCAAATTCCCTGTGTTGGTATTTCGTTTGGTGTCGACAGAATTTTCTCGATCACGAAGGCCCGTATGGCTGCGGCTACCAGCACATCTCTAGTCCGGAATAACGAGGTCGATGTCTATGTCATGGCCTTTGGCGGAAAGGGCTTTCTCAAGGAGCGCATGGCCATTTGTGCTCAACTGTGGGAAGCAGGTATCAAGGTACGCATTTCCCCTTCAATTTCTGTCTCACTTTGA